CACATTACTGGACGATGACGGAGTGGCAAAGGCGGTAGAGAACCTGCTCACGTGCTGTCTGCGCATAGAGTCATTTAGAGCTGGTGGTCGTCTCGCTGACAGACTGGCGGCCTATTACGAACGAGTGGACAGGGTGGCCAGCCGAGTCCGATGTCCGTTAACGGCACGAACTGTCCCGGAAATAACACCCGCCGGTTCCGCCAGAAGAGCAAAGCGTCGTCGCGAAAGTAGCACGGATCGTATGGGGAAGCTACCGAAGACCTGCATGCGACAATGACAGGTTACTTTGCCTCATGGACCGGTGTCGGACAACATCTAGCCTTTTTTGACCTGAACCAGGTTCGGTTGTGGGTCTTAGTGCTCTTTGACCAAAAGGGGCTTTGAGGAATGGGTGTAGACAAGATTGTTACTGCCGCATCCCTTGAAACGCAGACGTCTTCGAACAAGCAGCAACTTCTGGACGACCCCCATCCCCAATTCCACGACATGTAACATCAGAACAAGATATCAGAAACGACTCCGAAATAGCATCGAGGAATACGAATGCGACAGCGGCGAAGACGACCGCGGAGCACCATAGCAACACACGCCGTTTCCCGACCAGAATCACAGTCAGCCGCTGGGCGCAAACACGACACTGCAACGGTGGTGGGATATGTACTTGAGACACGTTGCTCGTCAACGGCCGGTAATTCCCGGCAGGTAGACTCGTAACCTGTTCAGCCTGCAGACCCGAACTCAACTCAGGAGGCTCGAACTTCTCGAGTTCGAGCCCCGCTGAAGCCGGCACACCCGCAGGAGGAAAGATTTTTGCCCGAAATAAAAAGCAACATGGAGTGGAGTGCGCTTGAGATTCCGACGACCCTCTCTGCGAATGATGCCGAGACTGTTTATCACGGTTTGAGTTTCTTGAGAAGCACGAGTGTTCCTGTTCCTGAGGGAGCGACTGACTTGCTTGACGCACTCCGGCTCTTAGCACCGACACACTCGGCGGTGGCAGACCCAA